AGAGAGAGAGAGAGAGAGAGAGAGAGAGAGAGAGAGAGAGAGAGAGACCGGTGAATCGAGTTTACGAAGTAGCGCTCTCATATTTCAGTTGTCTCTCGGGCAGCAAGAGGACTTGTTCGAAGCTGGTGGACTCTTTGGACCGCTAATCATCGGTGGACTTTGACTGCGCTTTTAAAAACAACAACAATTTTCCTCTCGACCCCGCAGCCAATAGAGCCGATATCATTAAAAAGGAGTTGTTCCTCAAGTCCGCGGCAATGGGGTGAGTGATCCAGAAAGCGCTGCCTTTCAGAGCGCTGCTCGTGACACCTGCACGGACTAATAACGTAGTAATATTGTGTGTATATATATATATATATATATATATATATATATATATATATATATATAATGTGTGTGTGTTTGTGCGGCAAATACGACAGAACATGTCCACAAGTAACTGTAGTTTACCTGTAAAGCTCTGAATACATTAGATTATCATTGCCGTAGTAACAGAGAAAGAGCCCCATTTACTCATATAGCCATTAGCCGGATTATAAGGCAATGTTGGTCATTTAATAGGTGACTTCATCTGGTCTTTGCGGTCTGTGAGATTTTTAGATGTCACGTGTGAACGGCTTGATGCCACATTTCTAATGATGGTCGTGTTTTATTATTTTCCAGCACAACATTAGGTGGAGCGGTCTAGTTCCTCTTTGAATACTTCAGCTCCTCCTTATCTGTCTTTAGCAATATGGTTTTGAGAGGGTCATGATACGGAGGAGTCAACACTGCCCACTAATAAGGAGCGATGGTACTTCTGTGTGTGTGTGTGTGTGTGTGTGTGTGTGTGTGGAGGTATTGGTGCACTCCCATAGTTGTGTACAGGGTACAGTACACTATTTTGCCTCCATAGTCTGTTGTGGTGTGTGAATGTTGACTCTGTGGCTCAATGCCATAGTTATGTAATCACTAACTCGCTTCACATCTACATATAGTGCAGATTCTTTATTTCTGGAGAACCTACTCCTGTTTGCATGGCTGTTATTTGACTTGCAATAATAACAGCTCAGTGTAATTTAATTTTGATTTCAGAATCAAACCTGTCCCTGAGTAATATATGTTAACATTTATTTTCTGTCATGTAAGAAACCAGTTCATCAGTCTTGACTTCACTCAGGAGTTTGGCATCCTCACCCAGCAGGTTTGTTGGGTAGAGGAGTCGGTGGTGGTATGTCATGAAAACTGGCCCAGTGGACCAGCAGCAGCAAGACAGGAGGTCACACCTACCGGCAGAGACACGGCAACAAGTTTGCTTTTGTCCGGCTTTCAGTCAGTGCCAACCAGTAGTATCATTTTACAGCTGAATTTTTGGGAAGGCGGTCACAAATGTCTCCCAGGAAAATTTCATCTGGCCACTTATTCACTAAAGCCACTGTTCAGGGTCACAAACTGATAGGCTTTGAAGCTGAAGCAGATGTTTGTCATTTGTGGTTGAGAAATTACTAACCATTTAATCAACTAATCATTTCTACGGCAGCAACCAATAATCATTTTAGTTATGGGTTAGTTGGGTCTCTTTAATCTTTAAAAAAAGTAAAGAAAAAGTAAATCTCTCATTGCATAAGCAAAGGAAAGCAAGACAATCTCAATATTGAGAAACTGAAGTGTTTTTTTCTTGAAAAACAACATAAAATAGTTGACAATTATTATTGTCAACCAACTAATCAATTGTTTCATCTCTAAATTTGTTTAAAAAAATAGTTTATCTTAAACAGAAGTGAAAATCAAGACTGAGTTGATGTGCAATATATTACATCCTTACATTTGGTAATGATGCAATATGTCTAAGTGACAAGTCAACATAGATAAAAGTGAGCTTTTGCAGGATTTAGGTGTCGTTTTGCTCTTTGGTCCTAAATGAAGTTAAAGATTAACTATAAATTGCACAACACACACATATTAACAACATCAGTATCTATCTTCCTTTATCCCCTTCCTACCATAGGTCTTTGGTCATGTGATCCATCAACTATTGACCTTGACACAATTCTTATTGATAACATCATTTCCACATGATTTGTAAAGCACAATAGCCTACTGTATGTATTATCCCAAATGATACTATTGTATATGTGCAGCATGCCCAGTATGTAGTTCAAGGTTGATGCATTTAAAGAGCTTGAGGAAATGCTGATAACAGTAGGAAATAAAGTGATTTTTCAGTACAGTTTCCCAGCTTAAGTGCTGCTTCTCAGATTGCCCAAAAGCCGATTCTTAATGAATAAAAAGTGTCACAGAGAGCAATGCAATCAGCACATTGCTATTTCATATAAGCCACGCTGGGAGCAGCCCTAACGCATGGATAGATGGTAATCTGCTGGCTGGCCAGAGAGTGACAGCGACAGGCTTAACACTCTTTGATTAGGCTGTGTGACGTGTGACTTTGTCGTGGGTCTCTTGGCTGCCCGAGTAGGAGGGTAGACTGTAAACCCGATCATAGTGTGTGTTCTCTGTCTGCGGTTGAAGGGTTGTGGAGGTGTAGTAGAGGAGCAGAAGCAGGTCTCGCTGTTTAGGAATCATGGGTAAATGAAAGGGGACATACTGACGGCGGATTGGACGTCTCTTCACCAGATGGTTCAGGCCTAGGAGGCCATCTGCTGCCACGCTGTGCTTCTGTGGAGACTTCCTCTTTCTCCGAGCTCTCAGATTATGTTGGGCTCTGCACCCTATAGGCTCAGTGTGGTGGTGGAGGACCTGCTGCGGTTGCTGGTTTGAATCTGGCCTGCTGCCTTTTGTTGCATAGGATTCTGTCTCTTTGTCAGTTTAATGAACTGTACTGGCACAAAGTACAGTTCAGCATACTGTCTGCTGCCAAAACATAGGTAGTAATAATGAACAAGACAGCAAGATTAAAAACGTCTTACAAGTGTAAAGTATAATACTAATACAGTAAAAAATTATAAGATGACAATGAAATTAGGCTAATTCACTTTTTTCAATTGATTCATTATTGATTAATCTAGCAACAGCAGTTATAAAATACCTTAGAGAAAGAAAAAGCATAATTTGTGTAAGCCTTTTTCATGTGATATACTTTCTACTTCTCAAAAACAATCTGAGAAGAAAAGCAACACTTTTCTGTTGAACTGCTCACAGCTCTCAACAAGCTGAAAGCGCTGGTTTAGTCTGTAAAATATCTAAAGCAGGCGTGATCAATTGCTTAACTTAAGTTAAAACTGTTGTTGATTTAATGTTTTGTCAGTCAACTAATTGATTCATCGACTAATCTTTCAAGCACTAAACGAAATGCAATAAAACGCATTGAAAAGCCATAAATAGTTTTCTGCAAACAGAATGAAGCTAAACCAAAAAGGGAAAATTAGTTTTTTGAGTTTTTGATCTAACGTACCTGTCCATGAGATTGTCTATAACATTTTAAATCATTAAGAAAAGCGGTCATGAATACCAAGTCACCAACACACTTGGATTATATGTCCTATTTTGTTTATTGCCGTTTTTGTATTTTACCCAAGCTTGTTAGAAATCAGTAATTCTTGTAACAGCAGAGATTTAAGTAAAAAAACAATGTTATAAAATGATGAAAGACATCAAACAAACAACAATGTCGTAGTATTAAGATGCTCTTTGTTGTCCCTCCCTTCCAACACTTGTTGCTCTCTGTACTACACCTTAAACTAGCCTTTGGATAGATGAAATAACAACATTCACCTCACGTTGCTGTTAAGACAAATATGCTCCTTTTTATGTAAATGTCAGGAGAAGATAAAAGCATTCTGCAGAGCTGTCATCGTTCTCTTTTAACCACTTTCTGCTATCTCAGTATTAAGTATTCGTCTCACTCAGCAGGGATCTTGACGTTACTGCACTTCAGGCAAACCCGCTCTTTCCGACGTCATTAGTAGAGCTTTGTGTTTATCGTGGCGTTGTAGTGATGATCCCACAGAGCTCCTCCTCTCCTGCATACTTCGCTCATTCGCTCAGACCAAACCCGGCTCTCACTAATAAGGCTGCTCTGCAGCAGGCCTCGCAGGTAAAAATGACAGCGAGCCTCAACTCTGTTCATCCGATGTGAGCAAGAGTACTCCAGCTAATGAGAATCCAAGTTATTACATTTTCTTTTATGGTCACGAATGAATGCTGCACTAATTTGTTATTTTAATATAGCCAGAGTCACCAGATCTTTGCACCTTGTGGCCCAGATGTTTTTCAGATTTCTCATTTTCTCCCTCTGAGAAGATTTGGGGGAAGATAATAATAATAATAATAATGCATTTTATTTGTAACGCACTTTTCATTCAGAAAATCTCAGAGTGCCACAGATGTTCTTTTATTACTTGGTGCCACAGAAAAAGCCAACTTAGTTTATTGCTGTCAGCACTAGTAGAGCAATTGAGGAAGAATACGGGCTCTAACTCGGTGTTCCTCGCCCTAATGTAGATATGTGACGAGTGAGTAATGCAGCGTTCATCACTTAAGTTCTTTTGAACAGACAGAAATGCAAATTCCTTGTATTAGTCAGACCACTTAGATTCAAGGACAGCATTTTCTACATATTTTGTTAGTAATATTATCTGAAGTATTTGAAGTAGCCTGATGATTTTTCCTGCTTTAGTCTCTGTCTTATTGAGACAACTTGGCCATCGGGAATTTGACACTTAAGCACCTGAAGTGCGTTTACCGCCTGTACTTTGGATCAGCATGCTGTTTGTTGATGAGGGTGTTTGCTACACAGAGTGTGTTTACGTCAGGTCACCGGCAATAATGTGGTGCATTTAACTGATGGTGTCTGTCCAGCTTTTTCTTTTTGCCTCTGGAGGATTATAAACGGGCCAATGACCTCATGAAGTACCACTGGCAGAGTAAAGTTGTCTCGATAATGAAGAAATCCTTTTTAAAACGTTCCAGGCGTATTCATATCTTTATGCCTGTGGGTCTGCACCCAATAGTACCTGGATGTACAGCTGACTAGTTTATTCCTTCTCGGTTCATTTCACGCTCCAGACGTGGTGTAAAACCCAGACGTGGTGTAAAACCCAGACGTGGTGTGTCGATGCTATCGCTCTGCTGACCCATTCAGAGGGGGACTTGACAACTCTGTAACAATACTGCCAGAAAAAACTACACTTACTCACTACGCTCATTTATCCCCATTCGTCTAATTATATGTGCTGCCTCAGTTCATTCTCTGAGGAACGTGAAGAATGTTGCATTGCACGTATCTGAAGCTGCTGAGAGGGCGGATTTCTGTCAAACAGGCTACAAAGCCTGTTCCGTGTTTGACCTCAGACTACCCAATCACTAATCAATAATCTAAACAGCTCACATGTGTCACTTTCATTTGGACAGAGAGGTAGATGTCTGTGATTGGGGAAAGTTTGTTTGGGGAATGAGACCAGAGTAAATTCTTAGACTCAGGAATTTGGACAAGGCGGTTTTCTCACTCGCTGTACCTGAATTCTACATCTGTAGCAGAAGACAAATGCAACGTGACCACAACCCCCTCGCATTAAACTCACCATCCAAACTCTTAGTCAAAGATAGAAGCCGCCTGCTGTTATTCACACTTTCTCTCCAGGCACGGTGTCATCCTGCATCATCTTAAAATGTCGTCTTTAAGCAGGATTATCCCTCTCTCCGCAAACTGCACTTAATCTCTGGAGAGCACAGGGTTTGGGTAAAACACAGGTATTGATAAAGCGAACATTCAAAAGGATTTAGGAGAACAAGAGGCGATGGGCTTAGTTGTGCATCACTCACGATATTGCTGCTCAAAGTTATTGTCGTGCAATTATTTAGACACGGCAGCCCTTTGCAACACTTTTCTTCCTCAGAATTGAAACTATAGTTGTTGGGTGTCATACCTTTTGTTTGTGAAATAGATTAATGTTGAAATGTTCATATTTAGAGGTACAGTTTCACTTCTGGATCAGCACGTTCCTTTGTTTTAATTTATTCTGTGTGGGTGAGAGCAGGTTTGAGTAAGTACTGCACCGTCAATGCCTACATACACCTACACACCCACACAGAAACATGCATGCACACACACACACACACCTGTAAATTATTTAATGCAGCAGATGGGGACAGAGCACCCGACAGTCAGCGAGAGACAAAATCCAGCGGTCACAAAGTCCCAAATGTCACCATCCCTTTTTTTAAAATTTTTTTTATCCAGTTAAATCAATCAAGCTAATGCTTTTTATCTCAGAAAAGCAGATCACTGGATTCCACCAACTGTTGTTTGAGTGCATCCATGTGTTCAACAGTGGCCTTTCCCTTCTCATCCCCTGCCAGTGTGAGCTGGCTGCAGACACCGCCGCTGCAAAGGTCAGCGTGTGTGTGTGTTTGTGTGTATGAAAAGCGACAACAGTGATCTGTATAATGGTTTTTTGTTGTCCCCAAAGCAGATGAAAACTGAGATTAGGCTTAAAAAGGACAGTGAATTTATTAGGCTTTCATTTCTGTGAGAACCATAATCCCAGTGGAAGTAGAAGCTTTATTAGCTCATGAATTATCGCTGCTCGCCTGCCTGTTTCCCCGACATTCACCGGGACCTTTTATAATAGTGCGTTAAAGTAACACTGAAGGTCTTCTTGACAACTTGCTTTTGCCAGTTGCTGTATAGCATTACAACAACAATGGCACCATCTGTACCCTGTTAGTGAAACCTCTAGTCTGGCCGACAGGAAATGTGCTTCTGTTTCTGCTAGCTTCAGCAGCTTTTTGTTATTATTTATAAGAATAATTTGAATTGACTTTTTAAGAACATGCTCTGAAGTGATTTTTTATTTTAAGCTTATTTTTCTAATCTCATCCCTGTGCTCTTAAAAAAAAAAAAATGCAATATTTATAATGGCTTTTGAGGTGCCTGAATGATTTTGATTTCTTTTTTTTTTTTTAACCGCACCAAGCAAAGTGTGGCTGTGCCCAGTTCAACAACCTCGTTCCCACTTCACACATTTAACTGAAATCCTTCATGTCGTTAAAGTAAATGGCAGGCCATGAAGGGAAAGCAAATCGAGGAATGAGGAGAGAGGATTAGGATTTCAACAACGAAAAGCTAAAAAAGCTCTCTCCTGGGACCATGTTTGTAACCAAGTGGGAAGAACTTTACTGTAGTTTGATACACAAATATTCTCTGTAAACTAATGTAGAGGGAGAGTCCATAATGAAGGAAGCTGGCATATTAGCTGTGTTGCTTTAAATTGTATATAGATCTGCATACATGTGTCGCCATATACTACATTCATGCAATCGTTTTCCTGCTATTCAACATGATGTGGTTAAAGAACCAAAAGACGTAGTAGTGCACAGTGAGGACAAAGGCTGCCAGTGGACAAACATGGATGTCAACACCAAGGAAACAATTGTTTTAGACCGCATCAAAACATCCCCGTTAGCTATCACGAGTGCATGCAGTCGATACGGGGTGAAGCGTCCAGCACTACTTGCGTTTTGTATGACAGTTTCTGGTGTGACCATGCAGTTAGACCCATGGAGAAGACTAGGAAGAACATCCAAGAACATATTTTCAAGAAAAAGCAGATATCGGGCCGACTGGGAGGGCAGAAGATGCCGGGACAAACTGATAAAATATAATATAACCGGATAAGAAGACAGAGAGAAACACTGAGACAGAAACAGAGGTGATATACTCACTGTTTCAAGTAGGCTATAAAGATAAGTGTGAGGCAGTAAGTGCCCAGTAAATGTTGCCCTGTCTGAAAGACACACATTCACTTTCACATTTTGACTTCCAGCAGGAGAAGTACTTCCTATCTGCCTCCCCCATAGTCTTCATCTGCATCCATTATTGAGTTCTTGAGGTGTCCTCTGATCCCTCTCATCCAGCCACTCCACCTAATTATTCCAGAGCATCACAACCACCTTCACTCACCTTTTCAAAATGAGAACTTCCAGCGGACAATGTAAACGTGTTGGGTCCGGTCCCGGTAAAGCACCGCCATTTAAACGGTGCCACTGTTTCTTTCACTAGCAGCTGTGGTGTTCTTCCAATGTCAAGGGCCAAGACTGTTTGTATGGAACTGACGATATGAGCGTACTATTAGTTTTACCACAAGCTGCATGACAACGTTCTAGAAATATTCTTGGATGGAGCTTAGGTTGAAACTGGTAAAGCAAGAACAGTACGTCACAGTAAATTCTTGTCTTCAAAATGTCTAATGGTAATAAAGCGTACAAATGTTTTGCTACTGTAATACAATTTAAAAAAAAAAAAGGATCCAAACTAACCCAATTGCTGGAATGAAGAGCAGGCTTGTGGCATTTCTCTAGATTTGATTAAACGTGTAGCTTTCCCAGTCATACAATCTGTAGGTTTATAAATATTCTGACCTGCACAATTGTACACTATACCAGTTTAAGCAAGTGTAACATGCCTGTATATTATATTAATGCCTTAAACAGAAAATACGGAGGAAAGGAGGATTTTCTGAACATACTGTATTTCCCATCTTTCAACTCAACATCCCAGTCAGACTAAGTTATATATATATATATATATATATATATATGTGTCTCTCTGTGTGAATGCCATAAAGAGGAGAAACATTTTCGCTGCATCTTTTTCAGTGTGCAGTCATTCAAGTTGAACAGGCTTTCTGCTCCTTCATCACCATGTTGATGCTCTTCTGAATCACTCGGGCAGCGAGCTGCTCATTGCTGAGAGGCAGACTGCTTCTCCCTTTTCAAAGACAGATGACATGATATTGAACTTTTCCCCATTACAGTCATTGTTGGAGTGGGCTTTGAAAGCTAACGCCATTTAGGATTTGGTAAAGTTGCCGGCAAAATACCCAGATTTGAAGCTTTTCTAATAAATGTTTAAAAAAAAGTTTGTTGTACAAAGGACTGATTTGCAATCAGTGAGAAGAACATTGTTTCCTAATTATAGAGGTTGTTTGCTCTATGGTGATTCACCGTTGCTTTTATTGCAAGTTTAATTTAAGGATTGAAGTTGCCACAGGCACTCAGCCCTGAGTGGCAAACACAAAACAATCGGTGTCAGCCAAAGAAAAAAATAATAATGAAACGTACTGAAACAAAGCTGATGTGTTATCAGAAGATTTTTTTAGAAATTGAGCAAACGTGTTTACAGACTGCTTAAGGCTAAACGGAAGAGAAGCAATGTGAAGTAAATTCTTGCTAATAGGTGTGTGTGTGTGTGTGTGTGTGTGCGTGTGTGTGTGTGTCAGACACATTGTTCTGAATGACTTTACTTCAAGATGTTTGTTTTCCTCTTTATACAAGACGACCGTGAGTCTTCTCTTGTTTGACTTGTGTTATCATAGACTATTGTCTCGCATGTATTTGGTGCACAGGGGAAATCTTCCATTCGACAACAGATGTGAGTGCATACACATACACGCAAGTGCAACATTCTCACACAAACACCTAGATATGTGTTCCTGTCGCCGTGTTGGTGTGCAACTGGCTTTGGTTTGCCGTTTGTTCTGTTGTCACCTGCCCACCCGACTCTCGGGACTCTGCATCTCTGGAGACAAAGCACAGTGTCCCTTTTCCCTTTTTTAGTTGCATAACTTGCATATTATGGATCTTATCTTCAGTGGTCTTTCTCTCATATCGTCCCTCTCCTCTGCCCTCTGCTCTCCAGGGAGCAGCCGATCTACACCACCAGGGCCCACGTCTTCCAAATTGACCCGACCACCAAGAAGAACTGGGTCCCTGCCAGCAAGCAGGCCGTCACCGTCTCCTATTTTTACGACAGCACGCGCAACAGCTATCGCATCATCAGCGTGGATGGATCCAAGGTGTGTGTGTGTGTGCGTGCGTGTGTGTCCATATGAGGAAGAGATAAATGATAATTCCACTCAACCCTAATATATATGTTTATCATAAATGTTAAAAGTTGTTCCCAAGCAGGAGAATTGGTGACAGAGCAGCAGAACTTGAAAAACAAGAATACGTTATGCATTGGGAGCATCTGCTGTATGCAATAACAAGCACAACTACAACTTTATCATCATAATAATATTAATAAGATACTAGAGCATACACACCAAAGATTATGCAGTTTCTGATCTCTGATTTGAAACACAATTACACATATTCATGTCCAGGCTCACACAGCCTCACTTTAAATGTGATTTAGCCTGCTACCTTTGCTAAGTTGGTGTCTTTTGAGATGGTTATGTATTTATTTATACAAATATGTTAATAGTTCAGCACAAAAAAGTAACCTGTAGGTTGAAATCTAAGTCTGAGCATGAGCAGACTTCCCCTTTAATAAATATACAGCCAAGAGCTGCACACCTGTTGAGCAATTCAACTAAATTATCTGTAATTTACTGTCATCAACGATCGGCTGACCGTACTCATCCTTTAAGGACTGCAGAACCTAATTTGATGTTTTTCTTTTGAATTCAGTTTCACCCGTGTGTGTTGCTTGGTTACATAACATGTACTGTATGTGAACATTCAGCTCATTTAAAGAAAATTGGTCTTCACCAGAGAATGATGTTGAGGTTAGATCCTGCATAGGACAAGACACCATGCGAGTCTGCCCATGTACCATATTCACACCTTCTTCCTCTGCTAACTGAAAGAGTAGATTATGTGTTTCCATGGCAATCAGATACTTCTGTGAGTGAAAACCAGAGGAGAGTTATGACAGCGGTATCCCTCCGCAGACATTATCGCACAATCTCAAATCGCACAGATTACCTGCCGAGCCACTTCAGAGACGGAATGGGTTGACGGTTGTTTTACTCTGTTTCTGTTCCCACTGTTTGTCTTTTTACCATGCACCTCTCTTTTTACCATGCACCTCTCTGTTTGGGTGAAGGGCCTGTTGAGTTCAGTGTTGGGATTACCAACCCAACAGCTGAAGGGTGGGTCTCGTAGGAACTCAACATAGATATATGTGAATGTGGAGTATTTGCATAGCAAGCATTTTCTGCTGTTGCGTAGGACGTAACTTCTTAACAGTGACAAATGGATGCAAACAGCTTATGGGGTTTTAGATTAGGGACCCATTTTCCTGTGCAAATTATTCTTTACAATAAAATAAAATGCATTATTTCTCTATTCCTACATAACATTGTTGAGTCAAGAAAAGAAAGTCAGTTTTCTTACACATGTATATGTTTGTATATAGTCAAGGCCAGGAGTCCTGTCTCTGCTCTCCTATTCCTGTCATCCTCTCTGTTCTCTTGTCTCTCTACTCAATTCAATATGCTTTATTGATACGAGTGTAACAATGACAATCTTGCCAAAGCAGGAAGAAGTAATGAGATTATAAAGAAAAAGGTTCAATTCAGGGAAATAGCAGAAAACAATTAACCGTTGCGCCATTTGTGTGCGTTGGTGAAAGTGTGCGTGTGCTGATGGCACATACGTACACTCCTGTCACCTTCGGTAACAGAGCAGTACGTGTCGTATAATGTCTGCATGCAGCAGCTATATGTGAGCTCTGAAGATTAACATGTATTAAATCAAATGTTAAGCCAGTATAATTAGAGAGCTGAGTCAAAGTGATGTTGGTATGAGCAAAGTAACCGAAAGCGAGGAAATGTTGAGTTGTATCAAATTTACGTTAAAAATAGTTTATGTTATGTACACTAGCTGCGAGGGAGACAGGTCTGTCCAGAAGAATAGTCTGTGCAGCAGCACAGACCAACTGTGACAGACCGTCGGCTTATATTCGTCCATCCGTGAAGGCCGGGCAACTCGCTGATGATGATGATATTGCAAGTAGAGGAGCATATCAGCACTTTTGACTCATGCTCATCCTGAATCTCACTTCTCATACAGCGATGTACCAGTATGACAACACAGTGAAGGGTTCCTGTTGTACTTTATAAATCATTCCATGTGCGATTACTTTCCGAGCTAACGTAATATTTTTTTCCTCTAGCATCCTTGTCTCCTTTTAACTACCGAATCTTTCTTTTATTTTTTACTACTCTTACTCAGCTAGTTTACAAAATGTACATGTTGGCTCATGTACCACAACCTGGTGAGCTAGAAGACATGTTTCTGCCAAGAATAAGAATGTGTCTGTGGCTGGCAGGTTTACCAGATGTCAGTTTATAACTAGTTTAATGTATATGCCAATATTACAAACTACAGGCAATTTCCCTATGTTATCATCACCTTGCTCCCCTATACAATTGTGGCTGCACCCCAAGTACACCATATAGTTTCTCTACCTGTGTGTCATAAAGTTTTCTTTCCACCTTGTAAAAGCATTATTTCCACTGGGGATGAAAGGAACATGTCTGCCTTGCTATTACCCCC